AAGGCTCGGGAATTGTGAAATTTAATTATCTTTTGTGCCACTCATTCGGCCGAACCGGGGATATTTTTCTTTGATCGGGCTAATCAATTTACTAATGTGAAAGGTTACGGACAAAAAGTAGTTGCTACTAATCCGTGCGGAGAACAACCGCTTGCTCCTTATTCGGTTTGTAATTTAAGTGCTGTCAATTTGGCCTCTTTTGTGGATAAAAAGACCTCGCAAATCAAGTGGGATGAATTGCGAGAAACGGTGGAAAATTGTATTCGGTTCCAAGATAATATTATTGACGCCAGTTATTATTTTCTAGAAAAAAATACTATTCAGGCCCAAGGAGAAAGAAGAATTGGTCTAGGGGTCATGGGATTACATGATTTTTTGATTTATGCGGGTTTAAGATACGGCTCGCCAAAGGCTAATTTACTAGTAGACAAATTGTTTGAGACCATTTGCCGAACCGCTTATGAGACTTCAATCGCACTAGCCCAGGAAAAAGGCTCTTTTCCTTTTCTGACTGATAAAAATAATTTAGTGGAAAAATCGGCTTTCATTCGCTCTTTGCCAAGTGACATTCAAGAAAAAATTAGAAAATATGGTCTGCGAAATTCCCATTTATTAACTGTGGCTCCGACGGGTAGCACCGGGACTTTGGTGGGGGTTTCTACAGGTTTAGAGCCTTATTTTGCTTTTTCTCATTATCGTTCGGGAAGGCTGGGAAAATGAATTAAGGTTGATTATCCGATAGTTAATGAATGATTGAAATTTCACCCTGAATACAGTGCCGATAATTTACCAGATATTTTTGTTTCCGCCATGGAATTAACGCCCGAGGAACATGTTGATATTCAATGTATCATTCAACGCTGATTGGATGGCTCAATTTCTAAAACCATTAATGCTCCTCGTGGATACAGTGTCGCCCAGGTGAAAAAAATCTACGAGCGGCTTTATAACAAAGGAGCCAAAGGCGGCACGGTTTATGTTGACGGTAGCCGTGATTTTCAAGTGCTTAGTTTAGAAAAAAACGATAATCAGTTTGCCGAATTAAAGAAAAAAGACCAATGTCATACTTGCGGTGAGGGGGAATTGATTTGAGCTAATGGTTGTCAGACTTGTAGTAATTGTCAATTACAGGTTAAATGTGATATTTAA